AGGATTGGCCTTGCCTTAATGCTCCCTTGGGGGAACTTCTACGACGACTTACCGGTAATGTCCCCTAAGATCGTCGCTGACAACACCATGTGCACCATGAAGACCCTTATGCAGTTGTTGGGTGTGAAGTGTTCGCTCGACAAGCTTCGCGAGTTCGCTACCAAGGCTTCGGTCTTGGGAATCGAGATTGATGTTGGGGGGGCAGCCAACGGTTGGGTCCATTTGCGAAACAAACTGTCGAATTAAGGTGGGCTTGAGGAAGGCCTGCCACCTTTTTCCCAAGTCACTCAAGGTGATCAACAGTTTCGCTGCCAGTATCGTTCCGTCACATCATTATACAAGCTTCGTGATCTTGGACGGTGTGTGTACCAAGGAGCATGTGGACTCGCAGAATGCTTGCCTGCCAAATGTAGTGGTGCCTCTGAGCTCATTCGCAGGGGGGGACATAATCGTCAAGGCCGCTCACACTGCACGCCTCCGTGTGAGCCAGGGACCTGTGTCCTTCTGCGCACGCGCGCGTGAGCACTCGACTTCGGCAGCCCAGGGTAGGAGAGTCGTGCTTGTGCTCTTCAGCTTGCTGGGGGCAGTGCATCTGGGGTCGGATGATAACCGTCTTCTTCGTTCCTTGGGGTTTCCCTTGCCAACCAGGGAGGCCCTCAGGTGTGATCGCGTTCAAGAGCCACTGGAACTCTTCAGTCAGCCTTCTTGCAATAGCCCTGCTGCAATTGCTCCTGCCTCCCAGGTCAAGACAGGTGGAGTTGGTGAGCAGGCCCCATGGCTAGTCGAGGTATGTGCAGGGTCAGCCGTGCTTTCTGCAACTGCCTTGCGTGCGGGATGGAATGCGTTGCCTATTGACCAGCCTTCCTGTCGGTTTCAGGCACGTACGCCTTTGTTCATTATGGATATGCGTCAATCTTCCAGCCCAGTGATGCTGGCATCCCTCGCCAGTCGTGCAAATGTTGCTTGGTATCACTTCGGGCTTCCTTGTGGGACTTGTTCGAGGGCCAGGGAGAGACCGCTGCCGAATGCTCCAAGGCCCCTGCGTGATGCAGACAATCTTTTTGGCAAGGCCGGCCTTCGGCCAGCTGAGCAAGAACAGGTGACCGCTGCCAACCAGGTGTACGAACAGGCCGTTGAGGTGCTTTTCCTGGCTTTCACTCGTGGTGCCCTTGTCACGATTGAGAATCCTCTGCGAAGTTGGCTGTGGCCGTTGCTTGCCATTTTGGTCAAGCGGCGTGGGCCAGTTTCCTTCCGCCAATGGTACGGCTCCCCTCACCGCAGGTGATAGGACTATCTAGCGGCGGGCGCGTTGCTGGGTTGGCTGTGGGTGGGTGCTGGAACCAGGCGCGCGCGCGTGGTTCGCGTTATAAAAAACCAGGCGCAAAATAACGAACTTTGCGTGAGCTTGATTTGACGTTTGCACAAAACTTTTAGTCTCCGAAGTTTTGCTGAGTGAAACTTGGAAGCTTCGTTACTGTGTGCTGAGACTACGTTTTATGCTGCGGCTCTCGAGTGCTCAACAGTGGCATGTGTTCATGTGCTTGCGGCCTTCGTGTCGCTGTAACTTCCTTCGTGTTGCATGACACATGTGAGCACATGAACATGAAAATTTCACACCCGCCCGCCCTCCCCAGGGGTCGAGTTGCTGGGCCTTCGTGCCTCAAGCAAGGGCCTTCGCGTCCATGCCTCTGCATCTTGACTTGGCAGCTCATGAATGTGTGTCGCAAGAGCGGCAATCCTCGAACGACCCCGCTGGCCACAGGCCCGTGCACCTGAGAGAAAACAGTTGTCCCGAAGTGCCTTGCAGTGAGCGATTTGCGATTGCTATAGAAATATGTTGAGGATGATTTGGAAGATATCCTTTAATATATTTCGACAGATATATTTGATTTTGATATCTGTTTATGTCCCGCATAAGCGCCCCGCGGCGAGATTTCTCCTTGCAGGATTATGACTTTGACAGCTGCATGTTCGGTTCAGGTCGAGCCAAGGCCACGCGAATCAAGGGGTCACCTCAGGTCTTTCAAGGCCTCGCTCGTGCCTGTGATGGCAAACACCAGCACTTGGGTTGGGCGCCGGTCAGGCTTGGGCATAGTTGGCAGTTCAAGACTAAGGATGAGGCTGAGTATCCTGCGCCCTTGTGTGAGTTCTTGGTTGCCGCAGCCGCAGCGCGCCCCAGTGTCAAGGTTGGACAATGGCGAGCGCAGGAGCTTCGAGCGCAGGTACGTGCCCCTGCCGGACACCAGTCTCGTCATGCTCGTGCTCTTATTCCGGAGTTCGAGTACCAGGCCCAGCTGGAGCAAGTGCCGCCTCATCGTGACTATAAGTTGCTGAAGCTCTCCTCTTTCGGGGGTTCTTTTGCTGAGAGCTCCGATCGCTGGGGGATGCCGGGGGCCGTGATCACAAGCTGGGTGATCTGATTAGTTCCTCCGCCCCCGGCAAGCATGGTGATCCGCTTAGTTCTTCCGCCTCTGGCAAGCATGGTGCTACGCTTATTTCCAACAGCTCTAGCCTGAGTGGTGATCAGGTTAGCCGCCCTGGCAAGCGTGGTGATCTGGTTAGTTCTTCCTGCTCTGGCAAGCGTGGTGATCCGGCTAGTTCTTCCAGCTCTGGCAAGCGCAGCGATCCAGTAGGTCAGCCTTGCAATACCAAGCGTCTCGCTGGGGGGTCATCGGATTTGGTCGGTGTGTACCATACCATGGAGCAGCATATTCAGCTGGCGTCAGGTTTGGTTGCTCCTTCTGAGTGGGCGCACCAAGTGCCCGATGCAGTGCGGCGAAACATTTTCCGTCTCTGCACCAAAGGCCGCTTGCAGTGTCTAAGGCGCGTCTGCAGGCTTTGAACCGCTTGACAATGCTCGTCTCAAAGAGCTGAGCCCCAGGAAGCTGAGTTGCGAGGAGGTATGCATCCAGACGTCGAGGAGGTCACTCGGGGCAAAGCCATCTGTCTCTTCCGTGAGCTCCTCGAGGAGACAGGGTTCGGGGACATGTCGGTTGTCGACTCCTTGATCTCTGGTGTTGACCTTGGGAGAGTCGAGCCCCAGTGTTCACTGTTCCCCGAGCGCCATCGGCCCATGCAAATCCATCCGGACCAGCTGGATGCTCAGGCGCAGATAAGGCGCGAGGAAACCATGCGACGTCGCCCTCCTTCAGACCCGGTCGATTCAGATGCCTTGATCGCTGAAACCACTCAGGAAATTGAGGCGGGGTACTTGCTTGGCCATTTTTCTTGTGTCGAGGAGGTGTCGAAGTTCCTGGGCTGCCAATGCTGGTCTCTTTCGCCGAGGTTCCTTCTGAGACAGGGCGAGGATGGCAAAGTTCGTGTCATTGATGACTTCAGTGCTTCGAGTCCCACTCGCATTTGGTGTTGCAGGACACTGACTTCACTGTGGGACTTCTGCGCTTTCTGTCAAGGGTTTTGCTGAACAAGGCGGAGGTGGTTGTGCCTCTGTCTGATGGGCAGGTTCTGCGCGGGGCGTGGTCCCGAGAGATGTTGCACTCCCCTCCGTTGCTAGCTAAGACCATTGACTTGAAGAAGGCCTATAAGCAGATGGCTGTCAAGCCCTCTGCGTGGCGGCATGCGGTTCTTGGCTACCCAGACAAAAAGGATGGCTGGACGTTTGCGGTTTCCCGCAGCCTTCCTTTTGGCGCGACGTCAAGCGTCTATGCCTTTAACAAGCTGGCCCTGGCTTTGCTACACATCATGGTGGTCAAGTTTCATGCTATCGCTACCGATTTTTACGACTACACTGTCTTCGAGTTTCAGCCAGCTGCTTCCCTGTTGGACAAGGTGCTGTGCCGGCTGCTAAAGCTCCTCGGGTGGGTTTTTGCCGAGGATGGTAAGAAGTTCGTTCCCTTCGGGTCACAGGTGGTGACTTTGGGAGTCGTGCTCCATCTTGAGGAGATCTGGAATGGCCGTATCACGATTGCTAACAAGCCGGGGCGCATCAACAAAATCTGTACGATGCTTGCTCCGATCGCAGAGGGCAAGCCTGCTACGAGGTTTCAGTTGGCGAGTCTTCATGGATGGGCTGCTTAACTTTGCTGGTGGACATGTTTTGGGCTTTCAGCTGAAGCCTGCTGTCAGGATGTTTTCCAAGGCCCTCGCTAGGGGGCGCACCGCCGGAGCTGAACTTCGGGCAGCTGCGCTTCTTGCAATGGATGTCTTGAAAGGGGCCAGACCAAGGACTTTGCTGGCTCGGCTGACGCCGCCGATGGTCCTCTACACTGATGGTGCCTACGGTGTGGCTACTTGGGGTGCCATCCTCTTGGATCCCCTTTCTGGAGCCCGATGGATGTTTCATGGTACTGTCTGCCGAACGCTGTGCGACCACTGGAGAACGCATGCTGGGGAGCAGATAATCTGCGAAGTGGAGGCCTTCGCAGTTGCGCTTGTCCTCTACGGCTTGAGAGGATCGCTGCGTGGACGTTGCATCATCACTTTTATAGATAATGATGCTGCTCGCTTTGGCTTCATTCGACGCTCGTCTCCATCGCAGTGCATGTTTAACATCATCTGCCTTGTGACTTTGCTCGAGGCCATTCTCGAGACTTCGCTTTGGTACGAAAGAGTCCCCTCCAATTCCAATCCCTCGGACTTGCCGTCGAGGGGTGCCCTTGCGGAGGCCGTTGATCGCTTTGCAGTCCTTGACAAGGGCGACGTTGCAATCTCCGAACATGTTCTATCGATGCTTGTTTCAAAGAGCTATCTATGACCCTCGCTTGGCTGACGTGATTGCCAAGGCGGTCAGGTGCGAAGCTGACATGATGTCAGATCTTTACCAATGATGTGATGTGGCAGCTGCGGCTCACTTTTGCAGGGGACGATGCGGTTCGCCGGTTGCGTGTGCCAGTTGCGCTTTCGTACCTCTCACCTCGGGTGCTTCCGCCCCCGACTGAAAAAAGACAAGAGCTGTGAGTGAGCTGCTGTGTGTGCTGTCATTTCATATCGTTCAATATTCGACCTTTGCCGATAGGCAATCTTTTATATTATATTATGATTGGAATTTGTTGGAATGCAAAATTTCCTGACAAACGTCATGCTGAGCTTGCCGAGGCTTAGGTTTGTTCAGGAAAGGCGAAACCAAAGTGTAGCGCATTTGCATTCCCCTTTTCTTGCATGACATTTTGCCTTTGGCAATTTGTTGATTTCTATTATAAAATTTTCGAGAGTGATTCCCTTGAACATTATGATTACTCCGAATGCTTTGGGCATTGGCTCATGAGGGGTGGCTGGCTCGCCACACGTGGAAAATTTTTGTCCCACCCTCCCGACCCTACTTTTAATGTCCATTCGGTTTTTGATAGACCCTTTGGTGGGGGACGATGCGGTTCGCCGGTTGCGTGTGCCGGTTGCGCTTTCGTACCTCTCACCTCGGGTGCTTCCGCCCCCGACTGAAAAAGACAAGAGCTGTGAGTGAGCTGCTGTGTGTGCTGTCATTTCATATCGTTCAATATTCGCCCTTTGCCGATAGGCAATCTTTTATATTATATTATGATTGGAATTTGTTGGAATGCAAAATTTCCTGACAAACGTCAGTAGGACGTGGTACTTAGCTTTCTTTTCCAAGCCGCAATAGTCGGCTACCGCCTTGGGAAGCGGAGTGTAGCAATCCGGCGTGCCGTAAAGGCCATTCTCGTAACTCACCTTGAGATACGAGTATGCAGCGCCCGCCTAATCGTCGACTGGACGAGTGCGTTCGAATGAATGAAAACGATCACCCGAGCAGGTGCAACGATTCTCCTCTGCTCCCCAAGGATTTTAAGGTTGATGCCTCTCGTGTCCAAAGCCAGTTCGCAGATCTGGTGCAGTCAATCATAACCTTTTCCTGACCGTCATCTCTTTTCTAGAAGGGGGTGTGTGTGCGATGACGGAATGCCGTCAGTGATGGGTGTGTGCACGCTGGATGCATGTCAAACTTTCGAGACATATCCCGCTTGGCAATAAAGGAGTGTGAGCGTTTTCGCATGCCTGCAACATGTCGACTTGCATTCTACATGTCATTTTGTTTTCTTGGCGTGCTTACCTAAACAGTTGGAAATAAATTTGCTTTCTCGCTTGCGAGACAACATTTTATGCCGTCAGTGATGGGTGTGTGCACCCTGGATGCATGTCAAGCTTTCGAGACATACCCCGCTTGGCAATAAAAGAGTGTGAGGGTCTTCGCATGCCTGCAACATGTCCACTTGCAGTCTACATGTCATTTTGCTTTTTTGGAATGCCTACCTAAACAGTTGGAAATAATTGTGCGTTTTTTGCGTGACTTTTGTGCGGGCCTCGAGGTGGGCTGCAGTTGCATGGAAGACAGATTGTTGATTCGGCATACACATTCCTGACAAAAGCGGCTCGCCGAATCTACGACTGCAAGCTGATTGTGACTGGTTGCACTCTTAATTCTCCCTAAACCCCTAAACTCTGTTTTGGGGCTCAAACTGCTGTGGCTCGAAGGCGGGATGCATAGTAAAGGGAGAGTCAAGTTGCGTGATTTCAGATTGTGGTTGTGCAACGGGAATGAGAGGATCTGGTTGGGAGTACCAACCTGTTTGGATAAGTAATCTGCAAAAGTTCTTGCCCCTTTTTATTGGCGAGATTGTGATCCCCGTGTTGGCCAGCAGTGGCCGGAACAGCTGTACCAGATGCCAGACGGTTTTCACAGAGTAGTGATTCAGTCGTGGGCCATGGTGAGTTGCACAATCGGGCCTGTGCACTGTCCTGTGAAGCTTGCCCATGGCGACTGTGGAAGTGTGCCATGGAGGCAAATGCACTCGGAGAGGCGGAGGAGCGATGCTTTTCCGTGACATCGAAGAATGCTCAGAAGCTTTCGTGACTGCGAGCAGCTGCTTAAAAAAAGTGCTCCAAGGGCCCCAACTGCAGAGAAAACACTGTGCACAAGGTCTTCAAAGGCCTTAAGAAGTTCAGCCGCGTCGAAGCGATGCTGGCAAACATCATCCCCGGTTTCGAGATGAATGAGCTGCAACGAAAAGTTTCCAAGCTGAAGTTTGCCGCTCGAAGGGCTGAGGAAGCAGCAGATCGCATGGACAACAAAGCCTTGTGCCTGCTTGGCCCAGAGAGAAGCGCCGCTCTTGGAGAACCGAGGCTCCGGGCGCAGCTGCTGATGCGATCTCAGGAACTGATTGAAACCGACGCCAACATGTTCAACATGGCATTGCTGGATGCCCAGAAAGCCGTGCACCTTTTGCCTGCCTGGGCGTTCGGGCAGGTTGCCTTTTCGCAGGCCCTCCAGGCACATGGGCGATTCGGAGATGCAGCTGTCGCCATGCAAACTGCCCTTGCCATTGGCCGTGGGATAGACAAGAGAGCTCTCAAGAAAGTGGCAGTATCTTAGCTCGAATTTCAACTTGCCCTGTCGTGAGAAGTTTGTGTCTAAGACCTGAATGAGACTCGTCCACTTGTAAGGCCAAACTGCAGAAGCAAGTCGTCCAAGAGCTGGACATTTTGCGATGATCGGGTCGCAGATATCGGCACTGAGGCAGCTGCACATCAAGATTCGTTCCCTCCCTCCCGTGAGCTCATTCCCACACGCCCAAACCCAATGCCGCCACGCCATCCCTGACAAGACCCCATCTTGGCCGCAGAGCGTAATTAGTCGGTATACGCCATCAGCAGTATACATGAACACAAAGATCCATGGCACCGCGCAGGCCGCAAGTTTCTTGTATTGAGCCAGGCACGAGCAATCAGTACGTGTCCTATCGACTGCGATGCTGTCCAGAAGATGCAATTGGAGAAGTACTTCCGAACAGACACTATGGCTTATCTGCAGGCAGCAAGCATCGGCAGACTTGCACTTATGCTAGGTGTCGGTCACACCATCTACAGCATTACAGGTTGGAGCCAACAGTAGATCCTTCACCTTCGGTACATGCAGGTGGCAGCTCTCGGGCGTGAGGGCGGTGAACCACGACTGCCTGTGCATGAAGTTCTGGTGCCTTCCCTGTCGGTTGCACTGCTTCTCGGTAGGACCTTGCTTGGTGTGGCTTGACTACAGTGTTGTTTGTTGGTATTGCTGGAACCTTTCAGATATCTGTACGCATGCTTGGCTGCTTCCAATCGGCACCCGCCACATGCCGGAACCAAGCGGCCAAATGGTGCGCAATTATGCCCCTGGAGGCTCCGGTTCCCAAGCCCCAATCAAATCGCTCTCTAATCCCCCAACGGAGCTCGGCAAGCAGTCACCGCAGTCGCAGTCCTATGAGAGTTCCAGCAGCAGAAGTCCGTGAAACTCAAGCGGTAGCCCTTGAAAGCCGAGAGACAGCGCCTGGCAGGCGCTGTGGAAAGGGGACGCGGGGCCGAATCGCTTCCGTTTGGCACGTGGATGTTCTCGCCGACATTGGTTGCCAGTTCTCGAGCCTACACACCCATCGACCCAAGACTCTGCTGATGGTCACCTGGAGATATTGGTGAAAGTTTATCCGGATGGCCTCATGGCTCAACACCTTGCGACTTGGCAGAAAAGGCTTCCGGCGAAGGCCGCGCGGTGCAGGGCGCATCGCGTGACCCTGAAAGCCAAGGCTGGGCTCGTGTTCTTGTGTCCCAGCCGCTTCCCAGCCTCCCCGCCTTCAAGGGGGTTATGGATCCCCTTCTGAGCGGGGAAAGCTTGGTGATCCTTGCGGGCGGCAGCGCGGTGACTTCGGCTCTCCAAGTTTCTGCCGCGGCTCTTCATCCTGCGAGGTGCTGGGCTTGAAGATTAGAGGGGCCTTTTTTTTGAGACACTCCGGGGGCGGGCCGTCCTGGCCGACCGAGGTCCATCTAGTACTTTGCAGCAAGACGGCGAAGGATGTCCTCCTCGCCAAGGACTTCGAAGAGCTCCAGAAAGCGAAACCGGGGCAGGTTCCAGGTGACGCAACTCTTCTCCCGAGAAAGCCCGACGCTGAGCCCGCCGTCAGCCTCCAAGAAATCTCTGGCCAGGCGAAAGAGTGCCCTCAGTGAGCTGCATAGAACAGGAGCCGCGGCTCCCTTCTCCTTTTCAGCGGTGTGTGTCACCTGTGATCCGAGCTTTGCAAAGGTTGCATCTCAACGAGGAGGTTTTGGAGGAAGTCAGCGATCTTTCTTGTCAGTGCGCCACTCTGCCTCTGCCGCGCCGCCTACGACGCTTTGCGGGCTAAAGTGGCTAAAGGCCACTTGGAGGACGCCCTCTTCTTGGACGAGCTCCCGGAAGCCGAAGCAACCTGACCTAGCTGAGTTTATAGGTTCTAGGCCCGCAGTCTCCGTGTCCGACAGCGACTCCAGCGACTGCCGAGGAGTCCAGCAAAAAGATGGTTGCAGGCAAGCGGAGGCGCCTGCCACGCGATGGACCCGACGAAGCGACCGAAGCTTCCTTCAAAAGAGGCTTAGGAGGGACGAGGCCGAGAGGAGGCCTCTTATCGAGAGAGGGCCACGGGAGCCACTGCCGGTTCTTTCGCGGACTCCGTTTCCGCTGATGGTGCCCGGTTGCGCTGGACGTGAGCCGTACAGTCAAGATTAGCCGCACCCTTCTGCGGCTCTTCGTTCTTTTGGAGCCTTTGCATCCTTTGCCGTCGCGGGGGGAATGGCAACCTCGGATCGAAAGGCAGAGTTTAGGGGAGTCTCGAGAAGTCTCCAGCACGGAGCCGAAGCAAAGAGGAGTGCAGAGTGCAGAGGAGCGGGGCGGAGAGCCGAGCAGCGCAGTGAGCGGAGCCGAGCGGAGCCGAGCCATGGCCAAAAAAGGCGGAGCGCGCTGAGCCGAGCCTCCCGGCAGAGTGCTCGCGTGCGCCCGCGCCGCCGCCGCCGCGGGAGCGCCGGAGAAGATGGGAGACGAGGCGCGCCGGCGCCGGCCAAAGCCTTCGGAAAGGGACGTCCTACAGTCGTCCTAGTCCTTTCAGCGAGTCGCGGGCACGCGCTCGGACTCATGTTCTTGCACCGGCTTCTCGCCTTCGTTAAGCTCGAAGCTGAGACTATGTGTGGAGCCTGCAATGAAGGCTCCCAGAGAAGGATTATCCAACTTTCTGCTCGAAGATCAAGCCACTCTACTGTTTCAAGAGCTAAGTTAGGAAGATCCTTTTGCGAGGAGATTCTGAAGGAGCTGTTCCGTGTCCGACGACTCAGTGCTTGCATGGGGCTCTCGCATAAAATCACGCGACTGCGGGCAAGGCGGTGATCCGTGACGATGTCGCGTCTCTGCGAAGGATCGAAGGAGAGCCCGGAGCCAAGAGCGCGTGCAGCGGGCCCCCCCGCCTCCGTCTCACCCGAGGTTCGGCATCGATCTCTGGAGCGTCAAGAACTCGGCCCAACAAACGTCCAGAGCTCAGAGCCTTTCACAGCGCCATCTGTCTGTCTCTGGCAGAGGCCGCTCCAGCTGGCCAGGGAGCGAAAACGAAAGGAGGCCGCGGCCGCCACGGGGCAGAAGCCAAGACCAAAGAAGTTCCTTCTGAGGTCCTTGCGTTCCTGCAGAGGCACAGCGTCGTCGGATCGGACGCTGGTGCAACTGTGCAACTCGCAGAGTCAGAGTCGGGTCCTGGTAGGCCCAAAGCTGCGAAGATCGCGAACGCCAAAGCCGCCGGGCGGAGAAGAGCGGCAGCGGAGCAGCGGAGAGGCTAGGACTCGGACGTTCCTAGCCCTTCCTAGCCCTCCCACGCAGGCCGCGGCCGCCGCTTCGGCTTCACCATCTTCACAGCTCAGCTCTCGGAAAAAAAAGCGAGGGTGGAGCCGAGTCAGCCGCAGTCCCCAGGCCGACACTCGACGCTGCCGGAGCCCTTTGCACTTTAGTCACTTTAGGGCGCTTTAGGGCGGCTTTAGGGCTTTCGCTTGCTGAGACACCGGACCGAGCCGCATGCTTGCAGAGGCAGAGTCTGTTGCAGTCTTTCGGGCGGTCATGAAGGACGATGCGACCCAGGCGTCGACATCGTTTGGACCAGTATGTATGAATCCACGAACTCGCGTGTCCACTTGGCTCCTCGTACTCAAGGATAGCCAGCCCTGACTAATGTATTGGGGGGGTGGGGGGGG